TGGGGTTGTTAACCAATGTCATAAAACAATATGTGTACTACTGTTTCATGAGAAACTATTTGTTCTGTAAGCCTTCACCTGAAGTACAATAAAAAATAAAATAAAATGAAAAGCTTATTCACAATGGCAAAGAAAAAACTATTATAAACTTAAATTTTTCTGCAATTATTCAATTTATTTTGCTAGAATCAAATATAAAATTTCTCTTGGTAATCAAGGTAAAATGTCATATAACTGCCAAAAATGTAGTTTTTCTAGACTCCTCCCAAAAATAAAAAAGATATGAACAGAATGTAGATAAATATAGGATCTGCCAACCCTAACATGGAGTTTTAAAATCAACAAATTGACTAAAACTACATTATTATATGTTCATTTAAATAATGAAGAAAAAAGAACAATCTTGAAATCAGACCACCTCTTAGTCTAACTCAGACTAAGAACAGAGTCTAAGAAGAAAGCTGTTCTTCTCAGTCTAAGAACACCACAAAGCTGGGACTCAGCTTGTTGATCTATCTCCCTAAAACCTTAATAACTAAAAATCTATCTTTCACAGTTTTTCTTTATTGTTAATTAAATAATTTTATATAGTATTGTGTTTTCTGTACTAGAGAGTACAACATGATAAATTAACATGATAAAATGTAGAAATGTCAAAATGATGCCAATTAGTCTAATGGTGGCAAGTTTTTCTAAGATTCAAAAAATATAAGTTGGGCTTTTAAGAATCCACATTCTTTAAAGTCAGTGCCTTAATCATCCAGTTTATTTCTTGAAGGACTTAAGATAAGCTTGTCAACACACACAAAAAAGTACTCTTTTCAGGCTTTCCAAGATTTCCAGTATTTCATCATTATAATAAAGCCTATTTAATGGCAGCCAATTTGCAAACATCAAATTTAAGATTACAGCTTCAGTAAAACAAGAAGAAAGAAATTAAAGTTCACCTCAAGTATTTATGTTGGCATAGACTGAACAGAACTACTTAAGAGAAGACTGACACCGAGAGCTCCATTTTGCCACATGCTACATGCAGCACCAGTTTTCACATTACTTTAATCAAGAGCCAGACATAACGAGTCTATCATTTAAAGTATGTAAATTTATTACTCCTTCTTATGAAAGTTTGACATCTTGGTTCATGTCACACATTTGCAAACTAAGTATGCATTCCACAAAGAACAAAGGGCAAAAAACTTAGAATAACTTAGCTTTTTAGGTTCATGTTTTCATGAAACAAGAAAACAGCTAAGCGGGTGCTTGTAATATAAGACTTCCAGGGTCAATTTTAACATCACTAGATCTTCAAGCTTCTTTCAAAATATTAGGGAGAATCTTAATTGCCTTGTAATAAATTATTCAGAATCAAACAACAGCTAAACCCCAAACATAAGCACCTAAAATAAACAGCAGACAATGTCTAATTAACTTCTAATGACAACAAAAAAGAATACTTCTCTTATGTACACAGATAATCCAAAAAATATCTCTCAGTAAATAGTCATTTTGTGTCCTAGACCTACGGGAAATAAAAATCCCAAAAAGATATTATAAAATTTTTTACTCCTATTATAATTAGAAATCAATTCTCATAAACCAATTTCACTGAAAACCATTTTTTAAGTAAAAGTACTAGTTTTTCCAATCCTTCCTTTTTTTGATCATAGCAGTTCCTTCTTCTTAAAGTTTTATACTTGATAGCTTTGTAAGAAAATGACATGACAAGGGCAGTAAATATTAAAGATTTAACCAAAGAAATAACTCCTTCCTATTGGTGGTAGTGAAGAGGCTGGGGAAAGCAGGTAATGTTCAGGGGCTTTTTTTTTTTTAAGCATTTTAAGACAAATCTAACAAAAATCAGATTAGAGAAAATAATTTTCACCCTTTCTAGCACAAACTATATTATGTACTTTCTATTCAAATATCCCCATACATCTACACATTTAATGTAAAGAGACTGATGATAATCTAACATCTTTGATCACTTACTATGTGCCAGGCACTGGGCTAAATGCAGTACACTTATATTAATCCTCAGAGCAATCTGTCTGGTAAGTATAATTGTTAACCCTGTTTTACACATGGAAGAGGAAGAGGCACAAAGAGGTTAAGCAATTTAGTGAAAGCAACACAAATGACCAGTGACAGAGCTGGGCTTCAAACACAGACAGTCTGGCTCCAGAGTCTGATTTCTGAATCACGACATTACACTGTGTATAATGTATGAATGGTACCTGACACAAAGCCTGACATCAGGTATGTACTAAATGAAAAGTGAAACTATTACCGTAATATCTATCTTTACTTACTCTGGGATAATTCTGGATTTCCTCTCAGATTCATCATCTTTGGAACTGAAGGGCCATACACATCCACGTCTAACAAACCAATGGCCTTTGTCTGCAAGAAAACAGAATTTACCATAAGATTATCCCCACTCTTCATCAAAGAGAAAGCACATAGCAACTGTAAATCTGACTATAGAAAAGAAAGTTTACAAAACATTCCAAAATCACAACCTCAGCTTTCAAAACAACAGTGAGATAAAGGAGTATAAACTACCTAGGTAAATACTTCTTGTTGGATTTACTAATTTCTTCTAGATAATTGATAGAGAAATCCATCCCACATGCTTTACATACTGTGGTTCAGGTCTCTCATATAGTCAGTTTCAAGCACTAAGACCTTTTTGATGTGAACATGGCTTTTAGAACTAACAAATTACACACACGCATTGTTAAAATAATGATTTACAATGAAAAACAAGACCCAAGGAAGTTGGAGCATTAACTTTTGGAAAGTCCATCTAACACACCAAAGAATACAAAATGAAAAATGATCATGGAAACAAGATCATAATAAAGCAAGTGAAAAATTCTAATAGGGAAAATGACATAGACCTGGCATAACTGAGATGGAAGATCTAACAAGGATACTAGCAGACAATACAGAGGCAATCCATTACATGCAAATCACAGTTAAATACTCAAGGTTTTCTGGAAAACTCATAAACAGCTGAAACTGTTTTCTTTGATGACCCATCCAGCTTCCCAAGGGCAGAACATCCTGACTGGTCTCTTTTGCTAGCTACCAGTTAATCAGCAGCTTACCCAAGGAATGAAAAATAAAGTTCACTGTTCCCAAATATGTCTTTTTTTTTTCTTCTCTACTTCTCTTTCACTTTCCACAGATGAAATCAATCTGCTATTGATTTCCTCATATATAAGTAAACAAAATGTGAATAACTAAATATATGCTTTGGGTTATTCTTTGGCCAAGTCTTAAAAGTCACCATCGTACCCTAGCTAGATAAAACTCTTAATATCTCAAAAAACTGGAAAAAAAACCTGAAACCATCCTCACCTTCCATGTAATCTACCTATTTCCAGGCACAAAATTACTTATTAAACCTCTCTGGTTCCTATAAATACAAAAAATAGGCTAAAATCAACATTACAACAATTACTAACTTTACAACAACTCAAACTGAGTTTTAAGAAAACCATTTAATATCCCTGCATGACTCAGTGTCCTCAAAGGGGGGAAAAAATGGGATTAATATCTGTCTCTACCAAAATCTCAAATTACTGTAAAATAAATGAGAAAATAGGAACAATACTTTACCTTTAAAAGAATGCTAGTATATAAAAATTTAGGTTTAATGGATTTAGGCATTAGCTTTAAAAACGGAGAAATATTCAGTGAGAAATTTTGACCCATTTTAAGCCCTTTTTAACCGTCAACAAAAGAATTTAGTGTAAAATCAGTATAGATTAAAAGAAATTCAAATGAGGAGGTCTAAACCCTTCAGAAATATGACTACTTTTTAATACTATTATCTAAGGATCTACTAAAGCTGTAACTATCATCCTAGAATTTCACCTCTTTGCCATATCTATCTTATGACACCTACAAGACTAAAAACTACCACAAAACAATAGTAAATACCAACAAAAACAAAAATTTTAATTATTTTTCCTTATTCTCTTATTTATATCAATATTAGTTTTTAAAATAACTGCCAGAGGTCAGGTCCCAGATTTCAAACTAATCTTCTAACAATACCTATATCAAGTACAATCACCAAAAGAGAAAACCTCTCCTAGAAGAAGACCATGCTGCCTAAAAGTAAGCCCTTGGCACCATGGTTCAAGACAAAATTGAGTTAGCTGGCTGGACCACAGAGATCTGCTCTAACATTTACTGTGACTAGAGTCAATTTTACATATATGTAGTTAACTCCTATATACATTATCACATAACAGTAAAGGGGGGAGGAGTACGAGATTTTAGGATTCCTCTGCTTCCTAAATGATAGAACTAACAATAACTGAGAATCCTATGTTAGGTTCCCTACATACTCTCCCTGGGAGTGGTTACCAACTGACCTAAATTCAGTTCCAAGGTTTGCATACATCAAAAAGGAAACAGATAAAATGTAAGAAACCAATGGCAAAGAAATGTTGGCAGATGCAAGACAGTGATCAGGTATAGAGGTTCAAGAATTCTCAAGAGATGGAAATACAAGAGTGTGTGTGGTGATGTAAGAGTTTATTAACTCTAGATAAATACAGTGATTGCTCTCTAGTTGTAACAAAGTATAAAACGATATATTTAAAGATGGGAATTTATTGAAAGAAGGGAATTTATTGAAAGAAGGGAATAAAGGAATTTAAAAACGGTAAAAAAAAAAAAAAGAAAAGTAAAAGAGGGAAGGAAAGTATGAAAATGTAAATGAAAGAAAGATGGGAGGGAGAGAGGGACAAACAGAGAAAGAAAGCAGACGGGAAGGATGGACAGAAATTAATCAGCAATGTTATATTTAGAGCCTGGATAAACTAGGCTTCCACAACCAGCTCTGTGGACAAATCAGAATTGCCAAGAATATACCATCTTAAATCACTAAAGACAAACACCTAGACTTTCCAAAATTGTATCTCCCCATTTCTTGAATTACTTCATGGTGCCATTAGGCACTCTGCTAAGCATTTCTTTTTTACTCCTCATAACAGCACTGCAAGGTGGCATTATCCCTATTTATGGATGAGAAAACTAGAAACTAACATTCAAAATTACTTATTTTTTTTAAGTAAGCTGTGATGACGCAGTAGTTAAGAGCTCAGCTGCTAACCAAAAGGTCGGCAATTCAAATCCACCTAGAGCAGGGGTGACTTACGCTGGGTTCTCTAGCGAAGTAAAACCAGTAAAGCATATAAATATACATAGAGAGAGATTTATATCAAGGAAACAGCTCACACAATTGTAGAGGACAGAACGTCCCAAGTCTGTGGATCAGGGTAGCGGCCTCTCCCAGCTCACAGAGCCACAGAAGCTGGCAAGCCCAAGATCGGCAGGTTGGAGAGCAGGGCTCCCACTCACAGGCTGTGAAGGTTGATAAATTCCAAGAGCAGGCAAGACCACAGGGTTTCTCCTGATTCACGTAGCTGCAGGGGCTGGCAAACCCAAGATCGGCAGGTCAGAGAGCAGGGCTCCGCTCACAGGCTGTGAAGATCGACGAATCCCAAGTTCGGCAGATAAGCTGACAGCTCAAGTCCCAAGAACTGGAAATGAGATGACAGGAGGCAGCCGCAGGATCCAGAGAGAGCAAACAGCCAGAACGACTGCTTATATTCAGATGAAGGCCACACCCCCAAGGAAACTCCCTTTCATCTGACTGGCTACTCACAGTATATTCAATCATGGGAGTGATTACATACAAACACTGAGAATCATGGCCCAGCCAAGTTGACACACAATCTTAACCATCACAAGGTGTTAACATATTTTTTCTTAAAGTGCCAACCAGTAAATATTTAGGACTTCCAGACCATAGATCTCTGTGGCAACTACTCAACTCTGTCATTAAAGCACCAAAGCAGCCATAGGCAATATGTAAATGAATTAGCACGGCTATGTTCCAATAAAACTTTATTTACAAAAACAGACAGTGGGCCAGATTTGAGCCACTGATCACAGTTTACCACAGCTGAATTACAGAATAAACATTTTCATGACCAAGTTATTCAATCACTGCACAATGTAATTTTAGGAGAGTCAAGGGCAAGCAGAGCATAGCCATCTCTTTTGATGTCAGAGGAGCTACCTTAGTAAAGATATATTTCCTTATCCTTAATTGGCTAATTTTTTTACATAATGAAAAGCACACTTTTCAGGCTGTCTCAACAGAACTAAGTTAGCATGTCTCTCATATTTAATATATCATGAATAAAATCAGTGTCTATTAATATAAACACCAAAGTCCACATTAATTAAGGTTTATTACACTTAGAAATTGGCACAGCTACTTGACCAGTAAAATTACCATAGCTACAAAAATTAGCTTAAGCAGATTTTCAAGTCTAGAATTTAATAATGTTACAAAGGTGTCAAATAAACTTCATTTGTTTTTCATAATTGAAGTAATCTCCTATTTTACGTATATAAACAGTCTTTCAATTTAAACTTCCAAACAGTTTTACACTTCAGAAAAATAAATGAGCAAGGTAGAAGGCTACAAGTAAATGTAGGCAGCTGGGGGTCTAATGAGCCAAGTTTTATGACTCCTTTCCACCTCACTCCTCCTAAAATAATTATACTTACTCAAGAAAGCTTCAGTTAGGATTTTTTTAATCTTTAATTTCAGCCTGGCTTAAAAGAATAATCACTATACAAGCCTCAGCAAATACACAACGGATAAAGAAAATGATTATTAGCAAAAATAACTATAAACTTATTATTGTAAAGTGTGATTGCTGTCTTTAATGTCACCATAGACCTAACCTAATATGTTTGGTATCTAACATTATACTCTTTTTCTGACTTTCCTGCAGTACTCACAGCCTACCAGATGTCATAAAACAAAGCAGACCAAACCCCAAGATACCATTTAGGTTTTTAGATTTGTTTCTTTTTAATTCATAACACACTGTGAAATCTGTAAAAGGTGGCAGAATTATTCAGAGTGATTATACTGTTTCATTAATACAGCATGAAAGCCGCAATTTCAAAGCTTACAAGTCCTATTTTTTTGTGTGTTGGATTTCAAAGGCACCAACAACAGTTTTGATACTGCTTTGTTCTTCCAACAGAATTTACACTGAAGAAGATTGTAAAGCTTCATGACATGTTCCTTTTATCCATGTTGGCTGCTAATAGAACCCATCAAAAAAACATCTTAGAGCCATCCCACCTAATTATTTGTAAGTAAATATCCATTTAAAATCTACCTAAAGGTTGTCCCTACCACAGAAGCATACAGTTAAGACTCCCATGATTCCCTGCACATTACATTCAATTTAATTTTGGACCTGCAAATGGTATTTATTCAATTTGGAGTTAATTTGAGCCTCTTCTTTCTTCTCTTTCTGCCTAGCTTTAAGTCAAACTGCCATTAATAGAAA